GTTAGTAAGATAAGGTAAGATAAAGTAAGATTTAATTCGCTGGTCGAATTAAAATTAAAATTCCGATATCTTGTTATAATGAACAAGTTAAATGAACAAGATATTGGGAAATCAACAATGATTGAAATCTACCAGCAAATTTAAAATCTTTTTTCAAAATTTTCAAAATTTAGAGATAATTTTGCCGTGTTGTTTTTAACCGAACGTGAAACTTTTCTAGTTGGAAAGATTTTTTTATTTGAAAATAAAATTTTTATTTTATGTGTAATTTGAGTAATGAATTTTAATTTTATGTGTAATTTGAGTTATAAAATAATCGAATTTTATAATAAAGTTTCAAATCTTTTGGTAAATGAACCAATAATGTTAGATATTTTTTCTGTCCTGTTTTTGACAGAACATGAAGCTTGCCGTGTTGGAAAGGTATTTTGATTAAAAATAAATTTTTAATTTTATGTTTAATTCGAGTAATTGGTTGGTTAATTAACATGCTTTTATCCTTAAATTAACTAATCAACATATTTTAACTATTAACTAACTAATTAACATTCATTTATCTTTTTATAGGCTTTTATTATGCTGTATCTGTTATTTGGCTGAATTTGTTAACTTCTCGAAAATAAATATCTTTATGACTTTTACAGTAGTAAATTTTGGACTAAAAAAATTTACGCTCCCCTTTATCTTTTTTAAAACCTAAGTTACTTAAATAACTAAATTAATGAATGAATAAATGAATGTTTTATGAAAATAATTCGAGTTCAGTCAGGCTTACTCTATTTCTCTGTCATATCTTTAATATTATTAAAAATCTCATGAAACTTCGATAGATAAAGGGTCTTTAATTTAATTTCATATTCCAATTATTTGATTAAAAAGTTGTTCAAAAAAATAGGACAGCTTAAATTTAAGATTTCATATGCTGAAGATAAAATAAAATCTTACATTAAAAAGAAATGTGTTAACTTTAAAATTTAATTCAGGAAACATCAAAATATAAATCATAAAATCATAAAGAATATTAAAAAGGAAAAAAAATAGTCAAACTTAATTATTTCTTAAAACTTCAAAATATTTTAAAAAGAAACTAAATACATCAAAAATACTTCAAAAAGAAACTAACTACAGTTATTTAATACATTGTTTATCTTATATGCTTTATCTAATTTTCTGTATTTAATGCAAATGTTTAATTTTTTTTTTACAAATTTCATATGAATTTAGTTGCGCAAATGGCTTTACTTTCAAGTTGCAACAAAGTATTTTAACAGTTGCGAAGAATTCGTACAGACCAAAGAAATAATCAATGTCTTGTAGACCATTCCAGACTTATCGCATTGGTATGTTTTTTATTTATACGTTTATAAGTAGCATTTGATTACAGAAAAGTTATTGACAGACTAAATAATTTATTTAAACACAGAGTAGGAGTAACTGTTTCAAGAAAAGAACATTGCAAAAATCTGTCCATGACCTATAAAAGAATTTGCAGCAGTATTGCAGATAACTAATAATATAAAACATTGCTGCGCAAATTTATAAATTAAAAATATACATATTAATTATTAAGTATGTATGTTTTTTTTGCACACTGAGTTTCAACTTTTAGCGCAATAATAACTTAGAGAATGTTTTAATGCAAACTAAAACCCTTAATGTATTACAAACTAACTAACTACTTAAGAATTAATATTTAATTCTTAAAAATTAAGTAGTTTGTAATACATTAGGGGTTTCAGTTAGTTAGGATTTTTTTCTTTCTGTCTTTGTAGGGTTAGTTAGTTGTACATGTCAAATATTGTTTAAAAAATGTGTTTTAATGTTGTTATCCTCTGTTCTTAACAATGTTTGCTTTTGACAATAAATAAATTTTGTTAAAAAGCAGGCTTTACTAACAGCTCCTCCTGATTAAAATTTTTAAGAGTTTCGATTTTCTTCATTAAATATGTTTCACTCAAATTTTTTTTATATAAATAAAAGTAAGTATACAGCGTGTTGAAGCATAAGTTTTAATAACTTTTGTTAAATTTTTAGGATTTTTTGTATAGAGAATGTTTTCTTTATATTATTATTTTAATGTTTTGTATGTACATCAATATATATATATATATATATATATATATATATATATATATATATATATATATATAATAAAAATATATATATATAAAAATATATATATATATATATATATATATATATATATATATATATATATATATATATATATATATATATAGACACACACACACACACACACAATAAAATATATAGAATTAAAATGCCTATATATATTATATGTATAGACATTTTAATTTTTTTGCCTTAAATTATTGTCCCTTTTTCTTTAGAATATTAAATATCTGAAAAAAAATAAAACAGAAAAAGAAGTTTCAATATTTCCAAGTTTCTTCACTTGAAGCAAATATATGATTGTTTATAGAGGTTCTTTTAGTAGTTTTGTATTTATTTATTGCAAATCTTGCGTTAAATGCCTTTCAAAGTAATGAAAGGGTTTTGTTGATGGATGATTACATTTTATCCTTCCATGCTAGCAGTACCTGCTGAGTTGACAGGCCTTAAATTTTTTTAATTTGCTTTATTTATGAGTTCTAAAATGTAAAAAATTTGTTTTTTAAATTACATTTGTTTTTTTTGTTTTTTTTGATTAAATACTTATAATATTTTGTCAATAATTGATAACAACTACCATAAATATATAAACAATACTTAGTTGAAAATATTACATTTATTTATAACTTTCGTTTAAGTTTTTCATAAAACTATGTTATCTTAACACAATGCTATATATGGTAGAATATAATAGATTATAGTATTATGCTCTGTATTATTTGCTTTCACTTTATTTTAGATAAGTTTAAAAAAGAAACTTCAACTTTTATTATATTAGGCATCATTTTTACACACTCCTTTGATGCCTAATTATGTCTAATAATGCAAGAAATGAAATTATTAGACTTCGTCAAAATGAAAGAAGGCAGGCTAGGCGAGCTGAGATAAACCGCCGTCGAAATGAAAGAGATGAGCCCAGGCAAGCTGAGATCAATCGTCGTCGAATGGAAAGAGATGAGCCCCGGCGAGCTGAGATAAATCGTCGTCGAATTGAAAGAGATGAGCCCCGGCGAGCTGAAATAAATTGTAATCAAAATGAAAGAAATCAGGCTAGGCGAGAACTTAATAGGTATAATATGCATCGCATCGCAAGAAATAATATTGCTATAGAGAGTAACTACCTCGGAGAATTAAACCATAATTGTCAGTATTGCAGTGCAAAGAAGTTTTAAAATGAAACTCATTTTTTGTGCTGCCATTCAGGAAAAGTTGCATAAGCTCCTCTTTTTCTTTATCCGCCATTGTTGACTGGTTTAATGACAGGAAACCATGTTGATCATGCTGTAAATCAAAATTTTTTTAAACACATAAGGAGTTATAATTCCTCTTTATCTTTTGCTTCCTTCACTGCCGAAATAGCTCCTCCCTCAAATAATGGCCCTTTCTGTTTTAGGGTCTGTAGGCAAATTTTGCATCGTGTTGGAAGTTAAAGGCCTGCAGAAGGTTGTCTGCCCAAATATTGTCAGCTGTATATCTATGATCCTAATGCAGCAGTGTCATTCAGAATGGAACAACTTGGTAATGATGGTTGTATACATGAGTTAATGCAACTCTTGCAAACATTAATTAATCAAGAAAACCCATTTGCTCTTGCATTTAAAAACATGGCAGAAGTAGAGGATGAAGAAATCCGCCAAGCAGCTTTAGAAGGTAGACCAACCTCTGTTGTAAGAATGTCTTTGCTTGAAGGTCATGATAGACGTCGATACAATCTTCCTTCCCATGAGGAAGTTGCTTTTGTGTTTGTGGGAGATGATGGTGCTCCACCTGCATCCAGGGAAATTGTTATATACCCTCGAGGTCAGCCTTTAAGAACAATTTCGTCTATGTCTGCAAATTTGGATCCTTTGGTATATCTAATATTTTTCCCGAGAGGTGATGCTGGATGGCACAATCAACTAGAGCACAACCCTGACCGTGCAACCCGTGTTAGAAACCATGTTACTTTGTCTCAGTATTATAATTATAGGCTTGCTGTTAGACAAACTTTTAGTCCTATATTCTATGGTAAGAAACTTTTTCAGCAATATGTTGTTGATGCATATGTCAAAGTTGAGGGACAGCGCCTTGCTTTTATTAGAAATAACCAAAACAAACTGAGAAGTGAGCAATATGATGCATTGCATGAACATGTAATTAATCGTGCTAATGATCTTAATGTAAGACCAGGCCGTGTTGTTATATTGCCTTCTTCATATGTTGGTAGTCCAAGAGCATTAAAAGAAAACTTTGAAGATGCGATGGCAGTCATAAAGAAATATGGTAAACCAGATCTATTCATTACTTTTACCTGCAATCCAAAATGGAGAGAAATAGAAGAAAATTTAAACCCAGGTTAAACTGCTGATGACAGACCTGATTTAGTTTGTCGGGTATTTTAAATGAAACTAAAATTTTTCTAAGAGGATATTTTTAAGCATGGAGTCTTTGGCAAAGTTGTAAGTCATGTGCAGGTTATTGAGTTTCAAAAGCGTGGTTTGCCACATGTACATATTTTATTGCACTTTGTAAATGCTGATAAGCTAGAAACAGCAGAAGATATTGATAGTTTGATATCAGCAGAAATCCCAGACCCAGCTGTTGATCCTGAACTTTTTGAAATTATAAAATCATGCATGATACATGGACCATGTGGAATTTTAAATCCCAATTCTCCCTGCATGAAAGATGGCAAATACACAAAAAAATTTCCTAAGGAGTTTAATCCCCACACTGTTGCAATTTTTAATGGGAATCCACGCTAAAGGCGCGTCGATAATGGAAGAATTGTAAATATAAAAGGTAATCAAGTTGACAACCGTTGGGTTGTACCTTATAACCCATGGCTTTCTAAAAAATATCAAGCACACATAAATGTTGAAGCCTGCATGACCATAAAGTCAGTTAAGTATTTATATAAGTACATTTACAAAGGGCATGACTGTGCCAATGTGGTGATAAATGAGCAAGTTAACCATGATGAAATAAACACGTTTTTAAATTGTCGCTATGTCTCAGCTCCAGAAGCATTGTGGCGAATATTTGAGTATTCTTTAAGTGATATGTCACATAACATCATTCGACTTCAGGTTCATCTGCCAGATAATCAGATGATATATTTTGTAGAAGGCGAAGAACAGGCAGCTTTAGACCGTGCAGCACAGCGTGACACTCACCTAACTGCATGGTTTAAATTAAATGTTGAAAATGAACAAGCCCGACACTATCCATATGTTGAAATTCCTTACCACTTTGTTTTTGATAGCAAACATTGTAAATGGAAAGTTAGGCAAAGAGGTAGCAATAAGGTGATTGTTAGGATGTTTAAAGTGAGTCCAATAGGTGAAATATTTTATCTTAGAATGTTACTTTTGCATGTTAGAGGTGCAGTTTCTTTTGAAGATTTGCGTACTGTTAATGGTACAGTTTTTAATTTATTCCGAGAAGCATGTTCTCAATTAGGTCTGTTACAAGACGACGCTGAATGGAGAAATACATTAACTGAGGCTGCTGCAACTCGGTTGCCAAATCAAATTTGACAGTTGTTTTCCATTATTTTGACTTTCTGTGAACCTGATGATCCATTAAATGATCCACTGTTTTGAATATCTAAAATCTTCAAATTAAGTTTTTATGATTTTAAGTTAAATTAGACTTAAGAATATGTGTAAGAATTGAGAATAAATATTTACTTTTTATTTTAGAAATGAACATACAAGAAAATTTAAACGGAATGTATTTATTGCATATGTGCAATATGCGCTTATATTAGATATTATATCTATATATCTATATATATCTTATATATGCGTATACAGCACAAACGCTATACTTTATTTAGTACGCATATATAAATATATAAAGACAAAAAATTTACACTCTTATAGACAGTGTTGGGTTAACTGAAAGACAAAATAAGCACTGCTATCATATTTTATTAATTGGAAATAAATAAAAATATCAAGTAATTCTCTTTTTAGACGATGATTGTGACTTTTTTAGAAGTAAACTATAATTTCTTTAGAAGTAAACAATTTTTATTTATATAAAGTGATAGTTACAAAAAATTTATTTCAAGTATGGAGAAATCAGTAGCATATTTTTTATCAAATATTTGTATACTAATAGTAATTTGATTGTTGGTAATAGTTATATAGTTATATACACGCAGCTATTTAATAGTGAAATTTCATTATTATTTGTAAAATTCAAATCTTGAAATAAGAAAAAAATCTTAATGTGTTTTTCAACTAGAAACTTGGAATTTATTTTCTAGACCAGATGTTGTGATTATTATATTTTCTAGACTAGATGTAGTGCTTTATCATATGATATGCTAAATGTATATATTGTATTGTGTGTATATCTTAGATGCGCAGGAGATAGTGGCAGAAGAGACAGAGTCTTTTCTGCCTTGTTTGAAAGAATTCTTAGATAATCAAAGTTAGCATTTTCTATTTTTTATTTTTTACTTCAGTTTTTTCGAAGTTTATGTTACAGTAAATAAATTTATGAACTAATCTTTCATACATTTTGTTTATTAAGAAAATTTAGAAAGTAGAGTTAGAAAGCAAAATTTCATAATATAACTTTTATGTATATAAAATAAAAAATAATGAGGTTGGCTTTAGTAATTTGTTCATCTATTGAGAAAAATTAGAAGATTTACAAAAGTCCATAGGTGAGTAAAATTGCTTTTATGTTTATTATACACCCTAATTATTTATGTACATCTTATATTAAATGCGTTTTTTCAATTTGAGATTAGTTTTGGACTTTGAACTTTTTGGTCAATTTTTAAAGATATCATTTTAAACTACATTTGTAAGTAACTATATTATGTTTTATGTCTCATGAAAGTTTTAATAAATAATATAATGTAATCACTTTTATAGTGACAAATCCAACTTCCTCAGTAACGTATGTTGTTGTACTCACTTATACTTGACTTAATTTATGGATTAATTGGTTTAATTGCATTTTTAATTTTCTTTCATTTATCTCTTGCTGCTGCTTCTTCGGTTACAAGTAAGTTGTTCTATTCACTTATACTTGACTTAATTAATGGATTAATTGGTTTCATTGCATTTTTAATTTTCTTTTATTAATCTCTAGCTGCTGCTAACTCTAATTTTCCTAAAAAAACTAATTTTTTTGTCCTTTGAAGGTGGTTCTGCTATTTAATTAATTGTTGTGATGTTTTATGCAAATAGATTTAGCTCACATTCATGTTGGTCTGTCAGGGTTATGTAAAAATAAAAAAGTAAGCTTCTTATTCGCATTTTTGAGTTTTCAAAAGTATTGATTGCATGACATGTTAATTTGTAATTAATGTGTATGATTATGATTATGCGTTTAAATAACTTTGTTCCATTTTTAGTTCCGTTTCTGAGAGCTGACTTGATTATGGCTTACCTAAAGCTTCATATTTATGAAACAATGATTCAATTTAAATTGTATCATAAGTTGCTCTGTTGAATAAATTTTTTTTTTGTAATTTGTACTAAAGGTTATATTTTTATTTAAAATCAAGAAAAATATGTTTTTTAGTTAATATCTATATTTTTTTTATTTTGGGATTTATTGGTTCAAATGGATATAAAAATCATTTTTGCTTTGTCTTTCATATTACCTTTAATTATATATGAATAGGAACCATTTATGCTTTGATCACCATTAGCACTCGAAGTTTCCATTTGCATTAAGTATCGATTTTTGGCACACACAACAGGTTTAATAACTTAGGCAGTAAAAACAGCTTGAATGATTTGTTAAGAGTCTTTAAAGAAACGCTTTTACGAAAAGCATTAAATAGATAAAGCTAACTTATTTAAAATAATAAGTCTTTAAACCCGTTTTTCTATGTCCAAATTTACTTTTTGAATTAAAAATAAGTGTCTATCTTTCCTTGTTTTGTTATTTGATAAATAGTTAACCTAAACGATATTGTGTTAAACTTTTTAAATTGCCTTGTTTGCTGAGTGATTGAAACAAAAATTTTTGCAAGTTGTCTTGCTGTAATAAGTGTTATTATGAAATGGTTATCAAACAAAGGCAATTGCTATCATTATTGTTTTCTGTATGATCATATAGTTTCAATAGATAACTCATATCGTAAGATAAACATCGACACAATTGTGAAATTCAACTTTTAGCGCAATAATAAGAGAATGTTTTTATGCAAAATAAAACCCTTAATGTATAACAAACTAACTGACGACTTCAGAATTAATATTTAGTTCTTAAAAATTAAGGAGTTTGTTTTTCATTAAGGGTTTTAGTTTGTTTGGATTTTTTTTTCTTTCTGTCTTTGTAGGGTTAGTTAGTTGTACATGTCAAATACGTGTATATTTTGGATTATGTGTGAGGGGGGTTAGAGTGGGTGGGTGGGTTATTGTTTTACCCCCCGAATTCCATAATCCTTTGTCTCGTCCCAGACCTCTTCAAATATATATTTGGCTTGAAATGAGTTAGTTTGTCAGTTATGAACTTAGAGAAAGGTTGTATGGATATTCCTGAAGATAATAATTGTGACGTTATTGAATTAGTTCCTTCGAATCAATTATGCCTCGATTCCAATGCAACGAAGATCTAAGAGAATGTTTTATGCAAAATCTGGATCTGACTTCGATAGTGGGTTTAACGGTAAGGGAAGTGTTGTAAAATCCAATTTCGGACAAGATAGTGGCGTTAGTCGATCGAAGTTTAGTAAAGGTGGGCAATCTGCTATCGTGGCACCCCTTATTAACAGTGGCAGCGAAGCAAGCTATTTCCGCCCAATTGAAGTGCATAATAGTAAGACATCATGGTTCCGATACCATCACGTCCTCTTCAATGTTTCCTCTGCACCTCATACAAAGATTATGGAAGAGTTCGTGGCTAACCCTGACGTCCCTCGAAGTAATCCTACAACACCTGATGAGGTGCAGTGGTTGTCTGATAGATTTGGTGACGTTGCTGCGCAAATTTATAAAGAAGAAATATCCATATTAATTATTAAGTTTGTATGTTTTTTTGCACACTGTGTTTAAGCTTTAAGCGCAATAATAACAAACACTAACAATTTGAATTAAAAATAAGTGTCTATCTTTCCTTGTTTTATTATTTGATAAATAGTTTACCTAAACGATATTGTGTTTAACTTTTTAAATTACCTGCTTTGCTGAGTGATTAACACAAAAATTTTTGCAAGTAGTCTTGCTGTTATAAGTGTTATTTTGAAATGGTTATCAAACAAAGGCAATTGCTATCTCTATTGTTTTCTGTTTGATCATATAGTTTCAATAGATAACTCATATCGTAAGATAAACATCGACATAATTGTGAAATTTGTCTTTGTTGTTATTTTCGAAATAATGAAGAAATAATGATTGCACTCTCTTCTACAATATAAAGATTGAAGATAAATTATATCTTGATAGTTGTGTCGTTAGAACTTTGTAATTTAATGCTGCGTGTGCTGTTTGTGTTGTGCACTGTGTTTGTTTGTTGTTTTATCTGTTTTGTTGTTTGTAATGTGTCAAAATCAACGAAAGAATTATGTCTCTTGTGTTGTTTTGGTGCAATCAGAATTGCAAAATGAAACAAATATATAAATTTGTTTAAAAAAAGAAATTTGTTTAAATTCTAATTGCATTTTTTTTTGCTGTAGGATTTTTACAAAAGTTAAACACAAATTCTTTAAAAAGTCAAACACAAAATCGTTATAAAAAAAACAACAGTATAAAATATTTTTTTTTTTCTGAAATTAAAATTAACATTTTTTTTATTTCTTTACATTATTCTTTTCTTGCTCTTTTATAACCTTCTTCACACTTCGCAAAGCATGCGAAGTGTGAAGAGAATTTATTATTTTCTAATTCGCTAGTAGAATTAAAATTAAAATTCCGGTATCTTGTTATAATGAACAAGTTAAATGAACAAGATACTGGGAAATCAACAATGATTGATATTTTCCAGCAAATTTCAAATCTTTTTTCAAAATATTCAAAATTAATAGATAATTTTGCCGTGTTGTTTTAAACCGAACGTGAAGCTTTTCAGTTGGAAAGATTTTTTTATTAAAAAATAAAATTTCAATTTTATGTGTAATTTGAGTAATGAATTTTAATTTTATGTGTAATTTGAGTAATAAATAATCGAATTTTACAATAAAGTTTCGAATCTTTTGGTAAATGAATCAATAATGTTAGATATTTTTGCTGTCCTGTTTTTGACAGAACATGAAGCTTGCCGTGTTGGAAAGGTATTTTGATTAAAAATAAATTTTTAATTTAATGTTTAATTTGAGTAATAGGTTGGTTAATTAACATGCTTTTATCCTTAAATTAGCTAATCAACATTTTTTAACTTTTAAGTGGCTAATTAACATTTATTTATCTTTTTATTGGCTAATTAAATAGTTAATTTGATTTTGTTTGATCAAATCTTTTAATAAGCTGTATCTGTTATTTGGCTGAATTTGTTAACTTCTCGAAAATAAATTTCTTTATGACTTTTACAGTAGTAATTTTTATCACTATAAAAATGAGACAAATTA